GTGTGTGTGTGTGTGTGTGTGTGTGTGTGTGTGTGTGTAAAACCATTTGTCAGAAATGAATTATAAAAATTCTAAATAGAAATATAATTTTGAAATACACACAATTTGGCAACAGAGGCACATCCTTCTTAGTCACTCTATCTGATGTGGATAGAAACTATGATCAGTAGTGAAAAGTAGAGAATGAATAAAGATGTGGAGCCAGAAAATGATTCTGCAAGAGTACTATGCCATTTGTGCATGGAAGAATAGCCCTAATTCATGAGGGTGCATTTTGTTTTATTTTTAAGAGGTAAGCCACAAGTATTTATACACACTGACTATATTACATAGACTGCCATATATTTGTCATTTGTTTTATTTTCAATTTTCCAATTAAAAACTATTTGTTAAAAATTGTCCCAGTAATTGACAAGGGGCAGAAATTTGATATTTGGATCTAATCCATCTTCAGATACGTCGAATTACCTGTTTTAGCCTCTTCTCCCACTGGTGATTTAAGCTCAGTGTAGCTGCTATTAAAAGGATCATTAAAGCAAAATCATGGCTCTTAGAGGTTGAAAGTGATCTCAGCTGTTTCTTCCAGCTTTCTTCTGTCAGCTAGGTGAAGAAAGAATTTTCCTACTTTTTCAGTGAGGCATTAAAAAATTTATAGCTTATGTCTACATTGTCATAACTGAGAAATGTTAAAAACAGTGATAAACTTAGGTTATTGCTGTAGGTTTAGAGTCACTGTTTAATCAACTTTAAAACACATTTTTTTCACATTTTAACATTTCTGAAATTCAGATGTGACATACAATTAGCTGTGTCTTAGAGTTCAAGTGAGAAAGTTGGTGTGCTGCTATTTCTACCACCCTAGCCTGACCTAAGTCCACAGGATACTGAGGATTAGTAATTAAGGAGAGAAGCATTCCTCCACTTGTCCTTTATAGTACTGAGGATGAAGCCAACCTCTGATCTTTCTATTTAGGCTGTCCAATGAAGAGACAGTGCTGTTTTGTAGTATTGCCTTGGGGTAATTTAACATTTTGCAGAAATGAGAATGTAGCATAACTTTTCTTCTCATCACTAGATTTATTTTTTTCATTCAAAAAATACCTGTTGAACATCCTACTATATTACAAATATTGTGCTCAGGCTAGTAAGTTCTCTAACATCTATGGCCTGTTCCTTTAATTTTAGCATGTAATACTACCTAGCAAATAGTAAGCCCTTAATAAAATTCTTCATTAGATTAATCACTAGTAGCCATTGTTAGCTGTGTAGCTTCTTACTTATGGCTTATATCCTGCTGTTGAGAGCTGTGGTACCTGAATTCAGCTATATCACGAGCACCCACTTGATAGCTGGAACTCTACTAATATTTTCAGTTCTTTTATAATCATTACATTGGATATGTTATTTCATTTTAGTGTATTTACATTTCAATATAGCATGAGACAAAGGATTATTTGATACTTTCAGTGTTAAGCAATTCCTACCTTATTAATAAGAGACACACAGGCATGGTTAAAGTTTTTTAAAAGCTATATATATGTACAATATTTAAAAACTTCAAAATTATACAGTCTGTTTAAACTTCTGAAGACATTTTAATCTTAAGACTAGATAGATTTCTATCCTTTGACATAAATAAAGCAAAAGGAAGGTGAATGGGAATGATGAATTGGCAGTGATATCATTTATATTTTGTTAAATTACCTGAAAAAAATAATAAATTTTTCATTCCACAAGCAAGAAAAGGTTTAAAGGATTGTTTGCAAAAGTGAATACAGACTACAAAATTCTAACGAAACTTAGATTGAAAAAATTGGGCATTCTTAATAAATTTCTTCAGAAAAGCTTTAGAAAGCATTTCAATTGATATTTATTGCCAAATATAATAAATGTTTCTAATAATATATTCAGTAGTTTCATTTGTTTTTTACAGTGCACACTGGTTTTTGGCTGTTGTTTGTTTCCCTGGTTTGGAAAAACCGAAGTATGAACCTAATCCTCATTACCATGAAAATACAACCATGCAAAAATGTTCAACTGTAGAGGACAGTTGTATTTCTTCTCCTTCAGCCAGTGAAATGGACAGTTGTTCACAAAACTCTTCTGCCAAGCCTATAATTAAGAAGATGCTAAACAAAAAGCATTGCATGGCTGTAATTGATTCAAGTGCTGAACAGGAAGAAAGTGACTCTCGTTATCGGAGAAACATATGCAGTGCGAAATGTAGTCTGAAAAAAATAAATCATACTGCAAGTGAAAATGAAGAATCAAATCAAGGAGAATCTGCATGCCAGAAAATTGTTGATAGGACTACAAGTGAGAATGGCCTACAGAATGAATATTTAAATTCTATGCACCATACAGGTATGTTTCTAAATGTTTTGAAAGAATCAAGGAGTTCAGAGTAAATTGGATTTTTTATAATCAGGATTAAGATTTCAGGGTACACTTTTTATTAAAAGTCAGATTTATTGAAATATAATTTACCAAAATGGAACATTTCATCATTTTATAAGTATAGTTGAGTGAGCTTTGATAAATGTTTATAGTCATGTAATCACTACAACAGCCGAGATTTAGAACCTTTCCATCACTCCAAAAAAAATTGCCTTGTACAGTCTATTCCCCTCACCTCTACAAAGAGTGCAGTTTTAAAATTGTAGTACAAGGTCTACATTTTCCATTCATAAGATCTTGGATTTATTTTCATTTTAAAGGATATTTATTGTATTCAGGATAAACAGTAGTTGTACAGTCTTACACCTGTAAGGTGAATTAGTTCAGTCTTCTCACTTTACAGATGGGAAATTGGAAATCAAGTGGCCAGAGGCAGAAATTAAAGGTTTTCCTCCAAAATAGTTGTTGACATTGAAATTAAAGGTTACTTCCTTATTCTTCACTCTCCTTCATTTTTCCAGTGTGAAGAAGGGCACTGGTGCAGCCTGTCTTTATTTCCCTTCAGTTTTTATAAATTGTGGTTTGGTTTTTTTTCTTGAATCAGTTCCATATTTCTAGCACTTGTTATGGAAATCTGAGGTTTCTGTTCAAATACTTAAATTTCATGTGAAGTTGATTGTATAATTTTCTCTCCATCCCCAAGGTAAAAAAGTCTACTCCATTAAATCCATACAGTGCTATAGTGTATACCTTGTAAACTTATTAAACTGTGAATAGATCCTAATATATTTTTTTGGAGGAAAAAGGTCAGTATAAAGCATAGAAAAATGTATGTAAATTCAGAAAGAACCTATCAAAAATTGTGAATACTGAGCATACTCTTGGTACTTTTACCAGTTTATTTTAGTAAATCAGAAGAAAGCTATTGCTGAGGTCTTATAAATATATTTTTACTTTTTATTTAGTTTGACATACTAAGCTGCATAAAGCTAATAATAGCACTAGAGTATTTATATATGTGCCCTTTTGGAGATAAGAGGCAGAAAAGGGGAGTGGTATGTGAATATCTTCATTGAACTATTTTTTTAAATTCCCCCTTTGATCAGTAATTTCATCCATTTTAATGTGAATTCAAATGAAAAATAAATTAAAGTGCATGATTTAAAAACCAAGCAATGGGACAAAAACCTAGGGCTTCATATACACAAACTCCAGAAATTCCTAGTGGCCTTCTACTACAAATTAATGTTCCAGTCTTTAAAGTTGTAGTAGCAGTTAAAGTTGAGTAAATATTCTCACAAATGCTAGTGGAGACCACAGTAGGAATAATCTGTTTTACGTAATTTGCCTTTCAATATTCGTTTATTCTAAGTATTTTTTTATTATAGTTTGTGCATTTGGTATTTGTTTTGGCTTTTTTTTTTTAGTATGTGTGTAATATTTTTCTTAAAGGAAATTAATTTACCTTTATTGTGTGCAATACACTGATATTTTCTATTCTCTTGAATTAATCTAATAGTGGTAGTGCCCCACAGTTTGAAAAAAAAATGGTGCTCTAAAAAAAAAAAAATGGTGCTCTACAGTAGGTGTGTGCATTTTTCAAGAATGAGGTCCCATAGCTTTCATCAGATGCTTCAAAGGGATCATTCACCAAGAAGCACATTAAAGAAGAGTTTCTCTAGAGGTAACCTTACTACCTCAGAGAGGATGGTTAAGCAGTCTATCCTATATAAAATGAAAACTTCACTAAAAATTAGGATACAGAAAGCTTATAAAAATTTTTGCGACATGATTAAGATCTCAGTAATTGATTTCTGTTATATGCATGGACTTTTTAAATTATATAATGTTTCTTATTAATACAGATGGTTTAAGCAAAATCAGACTAAACTATAGTGATGAATCAGCTGAAGCTAGTAGATTGCTTGAAGATGAACTCATTGACTTTTCAGAAGATCAGGATAACCAGGTGAAACTTACTTGACAAAAAGTTCTGATGTTTTATCTAATTAAGTGTTTTTCTTTGGAGTCTTACAGATAGTTTCTTCAACCAGTAACTCATGCATCTGGACTTGGTTTTCATTCTAAAACACAAATTAAGTTTTCAGTTCAGAGGTTGCTAGGATAAATGTGCTAGTGATGTTTTCTTTTAGTTTTGAGCCACCCTCCCCACCCCCCCAATTGTGGATGAAACTAATAATACCCACCATTTTAATAGAAAATAAATTTTTTCAAATCAACACAGCCACCACCCCTACCACCCTTTCTCTTCCTCTTTTAAATTGTTTATGGGCTATATCTAACCTTTGGTCTAACTTGACATTCAGAAGACAAATGTTTAACATTTTGATTATATTAAACTAAAACTGTATTATATTCTTCCACATTTTCAGTGATTTTGGGGGGGGGTCTAATTTAATATATATAGCAGGAGCAAATAATACTTAGTTAAAACTAACATAGGTCTACTCTAATATTTATTTAATGTCTCACTTGCTCCAATAAACTTTACTAACACCAAGAATAAAATATATTATTTAAAATATTTTATAATTTCAGTTAAAAATGGCTTTATATCTAGAGAAAAGTTTATAAAAATCCTATAGCATACTATTTCTTTAATTCTTTAACTTTTTTAGTTAGGACAAACTGAATTTATTTCGTAGTGAAGATAGCTTTATACTGCACAAATTTTCTTTCCTGCTTCTTTTGTGAACAAAGCCATTTTTTTTGTGATGTTTAAATGGTCTATATGGCTATAAAACATAGTTTTTCTCTCAAACGTATACAGACATATATATGGGTTATATATAAGGCTTATAATGAGCACTCATGCTTCTTTGGTCATAGCACTTATTTCATTTGTAAGGTTGCCAAAAGCTTTTCTCATAGAACAAAATAAGCTTTGTTTGTTTTACATGCAAGATAATTTATAGAATAAGACACTGTCATTAAGCTATCTTCTCTCAAATGAAGTGGATATATGGTTTTGTTAAGGAGAACAGTGTTTCCAAAAACCCTTGAAATATTTCTGATTTTTAAAAAATTTATGTAAAAGAGTAATAAATAAAAGTTACTCATGTCCTATTATGAAACAGTTATCTTAATAACCAGCTATCTTAATTTTTATAGAAACACCTAAAATCAGAGCAGTGGTATTTGACCAGAGAAGAAGCAGTCGTAATATATTGTCTTTAAAAATGTATTCTAGATTGAGCATATGATGTAATAATTTTTCAGATTCCTTTGATTTGTAGTTTCTTTTCATTAAAACGTCAGTGTTGTGATATTAGATAATTGGAATCAAGTGACATCCCAATTTTTGTGTTTGATCACCTGACTAGAAATGTTTTTGACATATTTGTTATAAAAGATTTCTATCCTCAATAGTTCTACTTTGGTAGGTTATTAGTTATTTAGATTGTATATTTTCAATACTAACAGCAGGCTCTCTCTTATAGGATGACAGTAGTGACGATGGATTCCTTACCGATGACAATTGCAATTCAGAAATAGGACAGTGGCATTTAAAACCTACTATCTGTAAACAGTAAGCATTGACTACATGAAAACCTTTATTTATGTACCTTCATAAAATAACATGACTAGACAGTTTTTTGTTTTGTTTTTTAAATATTTTTATTGATTTCAGAGAGGATGGGGGTGGAGAGAGAGATAGAAACATCAATAATGAGAGTGACTCATTGATCGGCTGCCTCCCACCCACAATGGGGATCAAGCCTGCAATCCAGGCATGTGCCCTGACCCAGAATCAAACCGTGACCTGGTTCATACGTCAATGCTCAACCACTGAACTACACCAGCCGGGCTAGACAGTTTTATTTAAACAGGTACTAAGCAAAAGTCACAATGGCTGTCAGTTTCATTGAGGAAAACTGGATCATGCCCAATGTCCAAGGATCAAATGGAGAGAAAGAATAATTACTTTAGTCCTCTATTTTTTATGTGTGCATGCATGCACACACAGACATTTCCACCCCAAATGAGAGTGAGTTCGTTTTGGTTTTCGGAAGTAATACTATATTCTGAGGTCTCTCTAGGGGCTCCAAGCTTCTTAGGTGATGACGTATTACCTATTTGTAAACCTCATCTTTTTTGGCTTCTTTTTCTTACCTTTTTTTTTTTTCTTTGTAGAAAATGTTGGTTAAAACTCCATTAACAGCTTTTGAAAAGCAAACCTCATTTATAAAGAAAAATATAGAGACCTTGAACAGTTAAGAGATCTCCAAATCCCACAAAATTTTAACCAGGAAGAACCTAGACCCGTGGTCGGCAAACTGCAGCTCGCGAGCCACATGCGGCTCTTTGACCCCTTGAGTGTGGCTCTTCCTAAGCCTTAGGAGTACCCTAATTAAGTTAATAACAATGTACCTACCTATATAGTTTAAGTTTAAAAAATTTGGCTCTCAAAAGAAATTTCAGTCGTTGTACTGTTGATATTTGGCTCTGTTGAATAATGAGTTTGCCGACCACTGACCTAGACCTTTAAACATTCCAGGTCACTTTGCACTACATTAGACTTCCTCACCTTTACTTGGGTTTATAACAAAATTTTGAAGGTTGAGCCTTATAGTGAGTGTTCAAAGTGGAATCACTGGATTCTAAATTAATTCTTGTATGTGACGATTACCTGTTTTGTTACCTGTAATAGGTTTTAGTTAAAAGTGTGATTATTTTCTTCTGCTTTTGGTGGAATATGGGTATTCAAATTTTCAGAATGGTTTTGACTTCCTATTAAATTTTGAAGTATTTTTAGAAACCTACTATGGAACTTTATTGAAATATATTGACAACTAAAATATGGTTAAATTACTACTTTATTATTTGGTATTTAACATAACCATGGCTATTTAAGTATTATTAGGGTATGTATGTCTATAAGGTTTATTCCCGCCACCCTCCCTAACTTTTACTTAGACATGCAAAGGGAATATTGAAGGTTTTAAATTGTATTGCTAATGCACATCTCTTTATGCTCTTTTAACATTATAAGGTGTTAACATTTGGTCCTTTCTACCATGCAGACCTTGTATCCTACTGATGGACTCACTCAGAGGCCCTTCTCGATCAAATGTTGTAAAAATTCTAAGAGAGTAAGTTCAGAACTGCACCTCGTACTTTGTATTCTGTAAGAAATAAAGAACTATATATATGCATATTCTTACTACATATTTATTATTGCAGGTATTTAGAGGTGGAATGGGAAGTTAAAAAAGGAAGCAAAAGAAGTTTTTCCAAAGATGTTATGAAAGGCTCTAATCCAAAAGTACCCCAACAAAATAACTTTAGTGATTGTGGTGTATACGTATTGCAGTATGTAGAGAGCTTTTTTGAGGTGGGTTTCAAATTGTTGGATATGAGATAATAAATAGTAAAATACTGTTTTGGGTCTTACGTTATTATAAAATAACAGTAAGTAAATATTTTGAAGAGTTTGAAAAACATTATCATTTCAAAAATTATTCCAAGGAGCAAAAACTTCCAAATTGGAGAATTTTTAAGACATAAAAAGGTTATATATTTCATCACATCCAAGCCTTGTGACCTCATTCCTCATCACTAATCAACTCCCCTTCCCCCTGGCTCTTTCTACCTAAAGAAATCTCTCCCATGATGTGGATTGCCCCTTTCACTCTCTTTTCTCCTCTTCACAGATATATTTCTGGAGATGTATTTATATTCACTATCTTCATTTCCACAAATTCTACTTCTCAAATCTCTGTAATCTGGCTTCATCCTCATTCTTACATTGAAATTGTTCATGACCTCTAAGCACCATTTGAAATTGACCATTCCTTCCTCATAACACTTTCTTCCTTTATCTTAAAAGATGCAATAACACTCATGCATATTTCTCTTGGATATTCTTTACAGTTATATTGACTCCATTTTTTAATTCACTATTCAGTGTACCATAAATGTTATCACTTCGTGTTAAATATGTTCAATTATTTCTGATGCCACTTTTGAAGTTCAGTATACTAGCATCACTATTCTAAACTACTGCCTCCTACCTTTTGTTTTTCACAGTTGTTTTCCAGAAACCCAAATCTAGTCATGTTACATTAAATCTTATAATGGCTTCCTCTTGCTCTTGGATTAAAGAAAATTCATGTGGCCTGCATGATCCAACTACTGTCCAAGCTCCTGACCTCATTTCCTACCATTCTCACTCTAGCATTCTGTATACCAGCCACCTGAGTGTCATTCAGTTTCTCATTGTGTCATGTTCTTTCTCATCTCTAGACCTTGATACATAGTTCTTTACCTGAAATATTCTTTCCTATTGCTTCTATCATTTCTTATTTGGCTAACTCCATTTAACTTCGGGTCTTAGCTTAAATATTACTTCTTTTTGGAATTGTGTTTAGCCCCCACATATGTATAGGACTCTCTGATTCTACTGTCACAATATTTGTCATATTCATTGTTTTAATTGTTATCTGTCTGTCTAGACTGGAGTCAAAAAGCCTTTTTATAAAGGGCCAGATATTAAGTAATATTTTAGGCTTTGCAGCTATACAGTGTCTGTTCCTATTCAGTTCTGTTGTGGCAAGAAAGCATATACAGACAACATGTAAATGAGTTAGTGTAACTGTGTTCCAACAAGGCTTTATTTACAAAACAGGCAGTAAGCAGAATTTGGCCCACTAGCTGCCATCTGCTGACCCCTGATCTACACGACCATCTGTTGGCAGAAGTTATCTATCTCCTGTGCTGAGCAGAATGCCTGGCATGTTGATAGATAATGACTGAATACATAATAACTGAGTTGTTGATTTTTAATTTTTAATGTTGGAATGCTTTTGCGTTTTAACTTAAACTGTTATTCCTTATAATTTTCTAATATGCATCTAACATTTTTATTTTCAGAATCCAATTATCAATTTTGAACTACCTATGAATTTGGCAAACTGGTTCTCTCCCCCAAGAATGAGAACAAAAAGAGAAGAAATTCGAAACATAATTCTAAAGCTGCAGGAAGATCAGAGTAAAGAGAAAAAGAAGTATAAGGACACATACTCAACAGACACATCTTTGGATGAAGGAACAGAACAAAGTATCGACAGTATCTCAGATTGACCATTTCTGATTCTTGTCAGTGTTGTCCTGAGAAACAGGTGACTTTCATTTTTGGGTACAGACAGTAAAGAACTGAAGTGCTCACTACTTGTAATGCTTGTATAAATGTCATATAATTAATTTCCAATGGAGTATGTATTAAGTTAGTCTGTAAATATGTTAATGAGGCCAATTTTTCCAGCATTTATAATTTTTTTTTTCACTTGTTAGGAAGCTTTTGTTATGTATTTTCTGTTAATAGTATTGAAAACTGCAACTTCCAAACACTAAATAAATAAATATTTATAGGAGGACACGATTAATTTGATATTCTTTAGTGAATTTGTATTAAATTCCTCGGTGTGTGTGATATATTTCATGGGAATATTCAAGTATCTATGATAATTTTTTGACCTTTTGCATTTCTAAAGTAACTTGAAATATGAAAATAAGATGAACTCTAAGGCATTTTGAACAAGAAAGACATCTTTATGTGCTTGTAAAGCAGGGGAAAAAACAACAGCTTTTTAAATTCATATATTCCCTTGTGTCCAGAAAACTCCAAAATGGAATAAATATAATTTTACATAAATATTTAAGGAGAAGTAATTCAAAGAATAACCTTGAATTAAACTAAATAACTGTGCTTTATCATATATTATTGCTAACTACATTTCTGAAGACGTCTAAGGCTCAGGTTAAAACTATTTTGATAAGTGCAGCTCGAATTTCAAATATCCCATGTTATCTTTCTATATTATAGCTTAAAATATTCTACAAAATGTGTGATATAGTTAATTGGTAAACATTTTTAATCTGTGAACACAGCAATTTAAATAGGAATTAAATATTTTTTGTAATGGCTTTTGCTATTTTTTTCATTGCTCATTTTGTTCTTGTTATTTTGATAAAGTATCAGACTTTGCACATGAGTTTTTTAGTGTAAATTATTTTTACATGTGAAAGTAATATCTTTTGATCAATTGCTTAGTGCAGGAAAAAAAATCCCCTACCTTGAATTCCCCTTTTAAATTCTTAAAATGTGATGGTTTTGATGACAGATTTACAACTCATATAGGAATCTTGCATATATCTGCTGAAACTATTATTTTCAAATGAAACATTATACATTTCTTTTGAATTAACTTTGAGACTCAAAATATATATTTTAAAAGTCATTTTTTGTTAAAAATGAATTTCAAAATGCACATATGTATAACAAAAATAGTTGAGACTATAAGGAACGCCATTTTTATCAGCATTTATTTTATTTTTAGTCTGGCCATTTCTGGTATTGTGACCAACATTTTAGGATATTTTCTTGAATTTAATAAAGTCTGTGGGTGTGTTTGGGGTAGATGGAGGTGTTAACAACAACTAAAAAAAATCTATTGAGACACACTCATTAAGGGAAACCTTAAAATGTAGGTTTAGGGAAGATCATCATTAGTGCTTTCAATTATAGTTTTGTTACTTTGAACTATGAGAACATTTTTAAATTTCTGATTACATTATTTTTTTTTTTAGAAATGCCCTAGAGCTATTAGCCCAAATATGAAAAAATGAGTTTAATCTTACTATTTACTGAATATGGACGAAAAGAAATGGAAATTTTTTTTTAATTCCTGATAGCAGTAAACAAAATTCATATATTTAATTTTTTTAATATACTGTATTTTATCAGAATTTGAAGTTACTGAAAAAACTATTCTAAAATGCTCATTTTCTGTTTTAATTTCTGATGGTTTCATTTTGCATTCTTAATCTTGTTAAGAGAAAAATATAACTTGTCCTTTATGCCATCTCAAGTTAATCACATTTTGACATGAAACATATAGATTGATGCCTGTCAGCTTTCTCTAGAGGTAGAGTATTCAGATATTTGATATTTCTCCCAGTCCATGTAAAATTCTATTTTTAAAAATTATGCTAATGACTTTGTTTTACATATACTAGTATATACTGAAATCTTTGGAGACTTCGAGGGTGAGCTCCAAAACTAGACTTGAGAATCTTTGGTGTATATGCACATTTACTTGATGAGTATGTACTGTGGTACTGCTATATGTAGTTTAAAGTGGCTACCAGTCTTTTAAAATGTGTCATTAGTATTTGGAAGTTGTGAAACCGAATTTTAAAGTTTAGAGGTTTGTTACTAGACACTGAAACTGCATGACAAGTATCTGGTGTCTTAACTAATTAGATCTGTTGTATTTGTTTTCTTGTTGGATAGAATAACAGTTAATCATTTTTAGAAGAGTTTTAGATTACTTGCCATAAAATTTGTATGTGTCTCAGCTTGTGGTAGTTTAGGAGCAAAGTTGGCATTTAACTAGTTCGTTCCCTTTGGTGATGTTGTTAAGACAGGTGAAAACTTAGTGGTATTGTTTCAAATTCACATAAATCTAAATCAGTTAAGCAGAGTAACCTGTGCTTACACTACTAGTCAATTATATGTAGGCGGTTTTATTTGAAAAGGTAAAATAATTATCTAAATTATATCTTGTTTTAAGTCACCAGAATGAATTCAGTATTCTTTTCTTTAAAAAACTAAGATCTGTGAAGATTGTAAGATATAACATAAAACAAACAGCTTTAATTTCCCAGACATCACAAATTATACTTAAAGTCACAGACAGTTCACTGAACAGGAGCATTACCCCATTCGAGGGCATGCTTAAGAGAGAGAAATAACAATGTGAGAGAGTAACATCTATCAGTTTGCCTCACCTTTCGTATGCTCCCCAACTGGGGATCAAACTCGAAACCCAGGTATGTGCCCTGACCAGGAATTGAACTGGTAACCTTTCAGTGCATGGATGACACTCAACCAACTGAGCCACTCCAGGCAAGGATATATTTCAATATATACATATATATGATCAAGAGTTGGTGGAGTAAAGCTACTGGAATATGATAGAATAACTTAGAAGAAACAGAACCCTTAAAAGATAAGGTAATGTAGTGCTGTATATTTAGAAGAGGTATCAATAACAAGGTTGCTCTAGAGATTACTTTGAGGACAAAAAGAGAGATTATTGTGGAGGCATGCTACAGACTGTGTAGCCAAGTGAATGTAAATGTATAGTTTACCAGTAAGAACATAACAGGTAACACTGGACTGTATTGGGAAGTGTAATCTAAATGCACTGAAATACTACAGTAGGACTTTGGGTTTTTTTCTAATCATAGGAAGGAAAAAAGGGGTTATGAAAATGCTTCAAAACTAACCACAGAGAAAGAATTGGTTGATCAAGTCAAAGAAATGTGTACCTTCGGGGAAAGTAGTTCTACCATCTTAATTCTAACAGGCCAGATCAAGGAATAATGATAGGGTACCCTAAACTGCTATTAAGGAAATCAGAGTGCACTGTACTCAGGAAACTACCATAGACCCATGGCCTGAAACAGACCAAAAAATTGAAAGCTTACAGGTCTTCACTATATTGCAAATAACATTTAAATTGTCCTTATTGCAAATGATTACAGTGAAGAGCATATTATCCAAAGCAATTATTTTTATCTAGGAATAGGCATCAAAATCCTGGGGAGCTCTTCAAAAAACACATACCTCATGTCTTAACCCCAGTGAAGCCATGTATTTTCAAGTAATTCTCAAGTAATTCTGATATGCATCTTCTGTGTCAAGCCACTGATTGGAAAGGATCAATATATGTCCCTGACAGTTTTTAAGCTGCTAGTCCCAGAGGTAATAAAGTTTGTATTTTACTCTTTTAAATGCTTTAGATACCACTTTGCTCCCACCCTCCACCCCCAAATTTTCATTAAGAACTTGAAGAAGTTATTAAGTTGCTGTTACTAAGTCTTGAAAAATTATAGAGAAAATTATTAAGGTACTCAAAGGTTAGATACTGGCAGATAAATCATGTTGTTCTAAAGATTCTGGCCCTATCTGGTTTGGCTCTTTATAGAGTGTCAGCCTGCAGACTGAGGGTCCCAGGTTCGATTCTAGTCAAGAGCACATGCCCAGGTTGCAGGCTCGATCCCCAGTGGGGGCATGCAGGAAGGAGCCAATCAGTGATTCTCATCATTGATGTTTTGGTCTGGAACCCTCTCCCTTCCTCTCTGAAATCAATAAAAATATATTAAAACGTTTTTTTAAAGATTCTGCAAATTATAAAACAGCAACTCTTGAGAAGATGTGAAAGTGAATTATTAAATGGTGGTGTGTGAACTCTTAATGGTCACTAGAAGTTAGGGAACCACTACAATAAAGGTTGTTTTATATTTTTATTAGAATTCTGGACTAATAAATCTAGAATGCAGCCGGACTAGCAATTCTCAAAATGTGTTTGATAACTCTGGTTCTGTGGTCAAGTAAGTGTAAAATATTTAAACCAAGTTAAGCCAGTTTCTTGGAACTTTTAATATGCTAATACAGAGCAATTTAATGAGTAGAAAATATAGAACAGCATGATAGATACAGGATTTGGCTATATCTTCCTTTTTCTCTTCTGGTCTGGTTCTCTAAACTGCCTTATAAATGCTCCACAGAATTAACTATTAGGGTGTTTGTGAACTGAACTTTAAGAAAGGGTACTTTTGAAACCTCTCTGAGGTTGGTTACTTATTTACATTTTATTTCACTAATAGTTGGGTATATGATTTGGAGACTTGAAAATAAGTGACTAGTGTCCTGGGAAAATGAAGTCAGATTTGATGATACTCATCTTTTGTCACTAAGTCATCTAAACTCATCACAAGTAGAAATTGTGCAAAAATATGAATGTGAATTGAAGGATTATCTGTCAGCTTTTTCCTCTGTTTATATCTTAACTGATATCTTATACCTCTCCCAACTTCCACGCCATCACCCTTTACTTTAGAATTAAACTGCAGCAAACTTTATACCTAAAAGTTTTCTTTTCCTTCTGAAGAAATCTGTGCAAAACGGCACTTTTAACTTAATACACACACACACACACACACACACACACACACACACACACATATAATTTCTCACTAGAGGATATATTTATATATTTTTATTGATTTTTAGAGAGAGGAAGGGAGAGAGGGAAAAATAAAAACAACATTGATTGGTTACCTCCTGTACACACCCCGATCAAACCCGAAACCTAGGTATGTGCCCTTATGGGATCAAACTCAACCTTTTGGAAGGCCCTCCAACCAACTGAGCCACCTGGCCAGGGCAACTTTCAGTATTTTTAATCCCCCAAATAACTGAAAACAAGTTGTTTAATCCTGTTATGAGACTTATTAAATTTATCATAATTAGCTACATACGTGTTGATAGGAGAGAACTTGATCCAAAACAAATTAGATGAACTTTGTACTAAGTGTTGG